TTCTATCATTTTTTTTATCTTTAGGGAGCATTCAGAACGTTTAAATTTAATTAACATCATCTTGCCAAACATTTTCAATCGCGACAACTTTAGCCGAAAGAAATTTGTCGCGAACACTTCCTCCGTTTGTTTGGTAAAAAAAATTCAGGTTTTTCTCTGCCTGAAGGACCAATACACATTTCTGATAAAGTCACCCTTTGGCGATTTTAGCCACGGAAAAACATGACGTGTAAAAATTTATCATTTTAGGAAATTTCTTACACGAATTTTCTTCTAATAAAACTGTATCGTTAAAAAAATGTTCCGTCTTCTTTTAAGAAATGTCTTAAAAAACATACCTATTCTTTAAGGAAAACTAATTTTTTTTTAGGATAAGATGTACCGTTTTAGGATACCCATGAAGCAACTACAGCGCTTCATAAAACAATCCTCCCCATTTTTGTTAATGCTGTAGGGGGTTGATAGAGTATCTTAAGTATTGTTACTGTCAAAAAGATTATGTAAAAAATACTTGGCCGCAGGCGAGCATTTCACGCTTCAACTCTTTTCTTACGTTAAAAAGGAGTTGCTTTATGCAAAAAGTGATCTTTATTTTTGCAGAAAATACAGAATGTCAAATTATGGAGTTAGTAATTAGTGTTACTGAATTGTTATTCGAATAATTGCCTCAATTGGATGAGGCATGGAATAGACCAAGGTCCAGATATTCTCAATGGAATATGTTCCCATTCTTTCTGGCGGTAACACCAAAGATCTTGGAGATTTCGTGAGTTTACTTTAAGTATTTGATTTTGGGGGTGGGGTGTTCTGTTTTTGGGGTTTTTTTTTTTGTTTTTTACTTTTAAATTCCTACCAAAATTATTCAATTATATTTTACTACAAAATTTTTTAGTAAATGTATTTGCATTGATTATTAGAAGTCAATTCTCGGTAGTGCATGCGCACTGGTGATGTAGTCCCAAATATAGAACGAAACCGCCGTCCAGTGCTTTCTGCATTCTGTTGAGGTTTCTTCTAGACTCGATGAATTACTTATATATATATTCATATATATATATATATATATATATATATATATATATATATATAGAGAGAGAGAAAGAGTGTGTGTGTGTGTGTGTGTGTGTGTGTGTGTGTGTGTGTGTGTGTTGTGTGTGTGGTCTATTTTTTTCAAATTGGTTTGGAATATCTGTATGCAGGGAATATTGTGAAGCCTAATCACTATAGTTGTAGAGGTGTCAAAGGTAATTGACATCGATGAATGAAAGTCACCTGAATATTGGAAAAGGCTAATCTCTATCCTGATAATTCGTGGCGGGCATCAAAATGCTGCAATCATGGCAGCTGCTCAATGCTCTTTAAATACCATGGAAACAATAAGACGTGAAATGCAGAGCTGCAACGAAGACTACGAAGCCGTGGCTTGTAGGAACGAACACAGTAGACGTTCTGTTTGCCTCAAACAACTGCAGGAGAAAGTGATGGAAGACCTAGGCAAGGGAATGCGGACTTAAGAGCGGGAAATGGGTGTTGCATTTTCCACCATGAAGATGTCCTTGAATGAGGACCTCCGTTACCAGTCATACAAGAGTTGTAAAGGTCAACTTCTTACAGAAAAATCCCAAGAAAAGCATCTTACAAAGGCAAAGAAACTCCTGAACCCGGAACAAACTGGTTCTTCTTTGATGAAAAGAATTTTTGTCAGGACCAGCTGCACCACATCCAGAACAAAAAATGCCTTGCCTACAATCCATAAAACGTTCCTCATGTCATGAAGACCAAATATTCCCAGACTGTGATGATTTTGGGGTGTGCCTTCAGTGTGGGTGATTTCATACCTCCCCATATATTTGAACAAGGTCTCAGGCTCAATTCGAATGGCGATGTGGAGTTGTTGAACACCGTGGTCAAGCCTTGTTTGGAGAGGGTTGCTTTTGGGGGACCAATTCAAGATTCAATTCCCGCCACACCTCCAGGAAGAGTCAGAAGTGGTTGTCATAATTTTTTACTTCACCAGCCCCAACGTCTGCCACACCTAATTCCTCTTATTGTGATCTCATGGATTATTATGTGCAGGGCACGGTTGAGACAGACGCCAACCGCATTGCCTGTAACACCAGGGCCCACCTGATCGAAAGGATTAAGGAGGAATTTCAGGGTCTATCTAGGAAACCACGAAGACCGCATGTGCCAGATTCCAGAGTCGGGTGGAGGCCGTGGAAAATACTGAAAGTGTCTTCTTTAAGTGAGGTTTATAACCTGTAGGCCATTTTTCTATTTTTCCAATGAATTGATTTTTGGCTTAGATATTCACTTTGTTTTCCTTTTTAAAAAAGTGTCAAATTTAGCTTGAACACCCTATATATATATATATATATATATATATATATATGCGCGAAATTTAGTGGAAAGTTTTCAATATCTGTGATACAGATAACATATTCAGTTGTATGGATATTAGTCTGTAACTCTAAGTTTCACGCTTTCGCGATCATCAGACATATATATATATATATATATGTGTGTGTGTGTGTGTGTGCACGCGCGTGTGTGTGTGTGTGTGTGTGTGTTTATGTGTGTGTTTATGTGTGTCTGTGTAAGAAAACAATATGATAAAGACAAATGGAAAAATAATCTTTACCAATATGTTTCGTCTTCTAATCATCAAGGATAGCTTTCCTTTTATCATTATTCATATATGTATATGTATATATATATATGTGTGTGTGTGTGTGTGTGTGTGTGTGTGTTTGTGCGTGTATGTGTGTATGCGTGCGTGTATGTGTGCGGCTGTGCATATATATGCGTGTGTATGTGCATGTGCGTGTGCCTGCATGTGTGCGCATCTGTTTTCAGATAATTTTTTTTTTTTTATTGAAAATCATTTATGATGTCAAGATGTCGAGGTGTGTGCCATGTTGATGACAGAACCTTCGTAAGAATCAATAATGTTCGATTGAGATGCCTGATTCTCGATGTGAGTGTGTATATTTTTATTTCTGGGTAGGGATGTATGCATGAAGGCGCCTAGCTGTGTATACCTGATTTGTAGCTCGTTGAGTGCTCAAGATATATGCGAACTGAAGTGCTACTGTAGCGTTGCAGGCTCGTCTGCCTGTCAGTAATAGGGGCCCGTATCGATTGACATGTCCAGTTGTTTTTCCATATTAGTAGACACACTACCAAAAATCGCGCACCCACGATGAAAAAGCCACAGCCAAGTGGAGAGCTGGGTTGGAGAGCAAGGCGATGAAGTGAAACGGAGAATGTAAAGACGAGGAAGTTAAAAGAAACACAGTAAACAAATAAAAAAATCGCTATAAGGGATTAGTTGACGTACCCGTTGCCGACGGCTAGAAAATGAAACACTCAATTGTAGAAAGCGGAAGAAAATTGGTCAGAAGCCAGTAAAGAATATAAGAAAGATATAGGTCTTCTTTTTCTTCTTCAGGACGTGGATGAAAATGACCCTCCTCAACATCCGATCCATGCTATCTTTTACAATATTTTTCTATTTATTGTCACTTACATCACTGTTTTGCCATCCATAGGCATAAGTTCGTTAGGCAGGTTACTACCTGTTTCTTTCTGCCCTTGTCGTCTATATATCCTGTGAGTGTCAGATTTTCCAAGGCTTCCTTTCTCATTATGCGCCCTAGAAATTTCATCTGTCTTTTTGATTGTAAGTATAAGCATCCTTTTTTTTATTTCTATTTTCTTTAAAACTTCTTCATTTCTCACATGCTATGGTATTCTCAACATCCTTTAGGAGAACCAAATCCATATTGCTTCAAGTCTATTCTACATCGGTGAAGAAACTGTCTAGCAGTCACTGCCACAGGATTGACAGTACATAACAATTGATCAATCTTTTCTTTGTTTTCAATTAATGTTATGCTTTACATTATTCGGACTATTGTTTTCATCTTTGTCGCCATATTTATTACAACGTTTCGGCCGTTGTACGCTCCGGCCTTCTTCAGGTGGTCGGAATGTCGAACTGAACCCTTTATTTCGTTCACTGGGGTAGACTGTTCTAGTTCCACGTGCCATGTTTTAATGAATGTCAGTTATCAGTTATCTCCTGTTAATTTCCCTCTGAAAGTTCTCCACTGCCTTAACTGGGTATTGAACTCACACTCTTTGGGTCCTGTCACTGGATCTAACACATGGCACAGTGGATAAAGGCGTTGGTTAGATCCAGTGACAGGACCAAAAAAGTGTCAGTTCAATACCTGGTTAAGGCAGTGGACAACTTGCGGAGGGAAATTAACAGGAGATAACTGATAACTGACATCCATTAAACATGGCATGTGGAACTAGAACAGTCTACCCCAGTGAACGAAATAAAGGGTTCAGTTCGACATTCCAACCACCTGAAGAAGGCTGGAGCGTACAACGGCCGATACGTTGTAGTAAATATGTCGACAAAGATGAGAATAGTCCGAATAATGTAAATAGTGTACATAATACCTCATCTCAGAAATATAGACAGATACTAAAGTTATGCCTGTTTCTAATAATTTCCATTAATTTCTGAAAGGCCTTTTTGATGATTGAATGCGCCTTTGAATGTTGATGTCCTTGATTCTGTCTTCTGCTAAAAACATTTCCCAGATATTTAAAATGTTGTACTTTCTTGATTTTGACATCTCCAATTCATAGCTGGCCCTCTGTGTCGTTCCTTTTTCGATTTTATTGAAAAATCTTTAGATGTAGCCTTGGAAAATATTTCTTAGGGGAACCAAGCTGTTCTTGTTCATACGAACCATTACGAGCGGCTTTCAGCCTGTATTTATCAAACCGAATGAACCTGCAAAGAATAATTCGTATCCAGAGATAAATTTAAGCAACAAATTCAAAAACGTAAAATATAGAAGATACTTGTTGTAGCTGTCTTCACTCGGTATTAATACGTTAAAAAAAGCATGAAACCACGTTTCCCTTTTCTCTGTCACATCACCAGCTGTTTCGTCATCGTTAAGAATGTAGTCGGTTTATAACCATATCACGTCGAAACATCGGTTCTCGTCTGATCTGCGCAGTTAAGCAACGTCGAGTCTGGTCTGTAGCTAGATGGTTGACCGCTTGGGAATACCAGGTGTTGTAAGTGTGCATGAAGGAGTTGTGTAATAGATAAGAGCTCAGGATGAGAAATTGGAAAGATGTGTTCGGATTCTAGTCGAGTTCGTTACCTTCTCTTACACAAATGCCGTTGAGCAATCATGAATCAAAAAGAGATATGGTGCTCCAAGCGTAATGGCCCTTCCCCACTTCCCAAGAATCTGACGAAAGCCCATGTTTAATAAAAAAACCTTCACAAACTGAAAAAAAGAATTTATTCGCACTTGGCATTCACGAATATAAATGTTACATTTTCACTGTTTTCCTTGTCAAACTGTCAAACTGTCAAACTAGTATTGTAGAGAAGAGTGTTCGATTTCCACTGTTGTCAACCTAGCCCTGATTTAGCTTAGCTTAGCAAATACTCGGTGTAACAGCAAAAATGTCCAAATCGTGTAACAGCAAAATTGTCTAATTGTTAAATTAAGTTCTAAACCGTTGTGTAGTAGAAATGATTAAAGATATCTTACTGGAATTCTACGACTTTCTTATGACAATATTGGATTCTACTTTGAGCAATAACAATGGAGAATTACTCTCATACGATCATAAACGAAAATGACATGTCCATCATTAATTAATGATAGTTAAGGATCGGAAGCTCATAAGTTCATATATATATATATATATATATATATATATATATATTATTCGAAGATCATTTTCTAACTTATTCAAGATAATCTTCGGCTTCTCTAACCTAACTTTTTGTCCTGCAGTAACAAGGTGCCTCCTACGTTTCATGTACGATTTCATTTCCAAGTCTCTTTTCACTGCTGTTTGGTCTGTTACAGGTGAAATTCTTTTCACCCATGTCAAACGTCTTATGAATTGAGTCGAACCTTTTCTAATTGATCTCTTTAGCACTAAGTTGAAATGAAGATCTGTGTTCCTCTTGTGATCTCCTGATCTAGTTTTTTTCTCTCAGCTGTTTTCTTGATGGTTCTTGAATGGATTTTGAAGATGGAAGCTAGAGTATGAATACTGCTACCATTACTGAAAGCCTGAATGATTTTTCCTCGCCAATGCTACGTTGAGAAAACATAGTGGGGCTGGCACAAAATGATTTTAACCTCTTCTCTTTCTAGCTGAATAACTCAGTTTTTCAGTGATTCTTACAACAAGTGAAATAAAGATGGCTAAATATCTTATCTGAAAACCTGAAAAAAAGACATTCAATTAGTTATGTGGGTTTTTTTTATATTAAACGTTTTGTGGGATGGACAATTATTCTGTAATACGATTTGGATAATTTTGCTGTTACACTCGCTATCTGAAATTTATATTGCCAATTTGATCCATATAAAATTATGTCAGATACTGTTGAGATGTTGGGAGTGTTCCCGCGTGTGTGTATTCAAATAAAGACAAACACAGACGTAGGGAAAAATACTGTATATTTGAAAGAGGTATTTAACAACAGAGTGTTTAGTAATAACGAACGCAGGTTAGCAAGTAACAATAGCAAAAGTCTACAGTCCAACGGTATGTTCCGGTCGAGAGACGGAAGTGTAATGGTCACCTGATCTCGTGATCTCTCTGATCTCCTTCTCCCCTGATATCTCTAGCACTGACCTATATCGTAGAGAGATCAGTCCATTATCAGTCAGAAGGTGGGTACGCCCCAACAGATACCGTAAACAGAACTTCCGGTTGACGTAGCTAAAATATTTGAGTTTAACATTCGGTTCGTTCTCGGAAAGTAAGCAGAAAGGCTTTTTTGCGAAAAACATTTTATTCCGATGACATCGTCAACATTTCAGCCATGAATATTTCTGTTACTATTTAAATTTGCTTCCGTTTTTTTATTCAATTATTTAATATTATTTACATAGTTTTATAAGCGTCAGCCATCTTACTTATTAAGCATTTCGCAAAAGAAACTATATTTATTTAGCAAATAAATACACATACGAGCGGGCGTCACTGATGTACGCTGACACAAACACCATTTGGTGAAAATGAAGACTAAACAAAATATTAAATTTGTCTTCACGTCCTCAATCTGTGACAATGCTATTGAACTGATCTGTATCATTTCTCTAAAATCATTCGTGCCACTAATTTTCAAAATGAACCAGAAAATTTTACTATTCGTTTTTTTTTGTTTTTTGAGTTCTTTTTTTCACAAAACATTAGCTTATTAAATTTTATAGGGCTCTTATTTGCAGAAAAAAATCTTTAATTTTATCGGAATAATCCGCCCCCCTCCCCCAGCACTTTTAACATTCCCCAACCGAATTTTAAATTGATTCACTATATATATATATATATATATATATATATATATATATATATATATATATATGATAGAAATATAAAAATGATAGAAATTTTAGTGAGGTTTGAATAATCAAATTAAAGTAATTCATCGAGTCAAGAAAAATCTTCAACAGAATACAGAAAGCGCTGGACGGCCGTTTCGTCCTATTTTGTGATTCATCAGCAGTGCGCATACAGTATCGAGAATCGAACCCGGACCGTTACTTTACGACGCACTGGACCAACGGACCTCGGTGACGAAGAAGTAACTAGCTACACTCGATATAGCGCCGTTCTCACTAAATTCCGTGGTGTAACTAATCCAAATATACTTAACCCAACGGATTGTGCCCCTGCGAGCCACGTTTTCTTTCCCCAATCTGCTCTCTGCAGAGCTGGTTCAAAATTTCTATCAATTGTATATTCTTGCTTGACAGGACAGAGGGGTGCTGGGAACTTTAGATCTTTTTTATCTAGTCGAATTCATTTAGAGCCTTTTTTTTTTCTTTTTTCCATCAATTTTGTATGTAGGTATTCCTCACTGAGATATTAGATCTACCAGGAATGGTGAAATGTTGTAAGAGCCAGGGTGCAAATTTACTGTAGATGACTTTACGATTAAGTCACTTTCTAGACATTTTCGTCGCAGTGAATTATTTCCTCCTTTGATCAGAGTCGCCTTTTTTTATGCCAAAATTGTGATCAGTCTCGTTACGACGGGCAACAAATTCATTTGGCGTATCATTTTCTAAAATATCCCTTTTGTGTTCATATAATCTTTTATTTAGATTCCTTAAGGTTTCTCCAATGTATTTTTGTGACAATTATTACAGGTGAAGGAGTAAACACTTCCTTCAGGTTTTAGCTTACATATATATATATGTTACTCAGAAGCTATACAAAGACAACCGGTAGATGAGGTGGTCCCTCTCTTGACTCCAAAACGCTCGATAGTACTCCCGTGATTGTTTACAGCCATTAATATATTCATAGCTTGCGCAACATGACATGGACTCTCAGTCCCTAGCAGCCTTGATTTAATTATCTTGAACCAGTCAAGATCATTGGAAATTGCCTGCGTCACATATGACTCGAATAGTCTGATGATAAGATACTGACGAAGTCGGTGATCTCCCAGTCATCAAAATGATATGACCTCTGCCTTTAATTGTGTATTTGATCAACGATCCATCTTTTATACAAGTTTTCTTAAATACAACTAACAAGGTACTGCGATTAAATATTTTATTCAATTTTTCTTACATTCGTACAATTATCTACTTTTCTGGAAGTATAGTGTGAAAAAAACTGTTCAAATATTATATATATGCGAGCGCTTTTGGCTATTCATTATCCATTATCAAAGATGTGTATATCTATAATGATGGGAACGCTCTTTTTAATTTTCCAAACACGGGTATCATGTTGTGACAGTGTTTATAGTTGATATTATTGAGTGTTGGCGTTTTCTTTTTTATTTATTAATGCATTCATTATTTTTAGCCGTTTTTTACGTTGATAAAACTATTATAGTCTTATTTTCCACATCTATATTGCGGACTTAGTTTGATAGGTCACCATGAGTGTTTAAATGTGTCCTAACTGAACTATAGTTTGAGAGATGTAACGTGAGTATTCTTGCTAATCATCTGTTGATTTTTTCGCAGTGGTTTATTCACATATATAGCTAAATTTCAGGGATCATATTTACCCGGATAGTGTTATTAAACGTACAATGGAGCAAAGGGTTAAAAGTTTTAAAACCCAGCCTATGTTTGGTCCCGGCTTGCAGCCGTTGTATCTGAAATTGTCGTGGTTATGGAGGGAATCCTGATTCCGGCTAATAGAGTGTCAACTTGTGTTTCATCATGTTTTCCTGTCGTCAGGGCACGGGTTGTTTTTGACACTGTCCCCGCGTTTTCTTTGTTTGCTAAAGATTAACAACCCTATCTACAAAATAGTTTGGTCGGTTTTAAATATAAATGTCAGTGTGACGCTGATTACACCAGAACCTTGAAACGCGTATTGCCCAACATGTGCCTGCCCATATCAGACAAGGTATGAGAGCTCGTAATTCACGTCTTACGCAAATAGCACAGGATTCTACGATAGGCCAACACCTTATAGATAATCTAGATTGAGCGTGCAAATTCGGATTCGTGATTTTCCAGTTTGGATAAAGCACTGTCGGCAAAACATCTGCACATTTTGGAGGCAGTATATATTAAATTACACCGACAGTCTTTGTGTCACAGAAAGAGAAATTTATTCGTTCTCTTTCTGTACTGAGAGGCTTAAGAGTATTGATTTTCTTTTTTATACTGACTGGAAGTATTTATTCTGGTTTTTGCTACCGTTTCCTCCTCATTTATGTTTTTCTCACTTTTAAATATGAAATTGTATTTTAATCGTAGTACCTCGATCCCTCCCAGTTTATGATTCCCCTTTAATATTTTCGGTGATTCTCGTTAATATTTTCGCCAACGATTCTTCTGGTGAGGTGTTGGCCGAAAAAAGGGTTACATATTAGGGAATAACATATGCAGTTTTGTCTGTGTAATATATATATATATATATATATATATATATAGAGAGAGAGAGAGAGAGAGAGAGAGGAGAGAAAGAAAGAGAGACAGAGAGCGATAATAATAATAATAATATACGTTTTTTTTTACTGGTAGCAAACTCATTCACAACTAAAATCGTTGACAATTACGGTGTGCA